GATGATCCTCCACACTCAAGATGCCTATGTAAAGTTGTTCATTGGGGAGTCCACGGCTGCCAAAGCTTGGAAGAAGCTTGAGGAGAACTTTGAGAAGACAAGCAACGCAAGGGTGTCCAACTTAGAAAGAAATTGACAAGCTTGACGTTGACCCGGGAGAAGAGCATTGCGGAGTATGTGGGAGAGTTCCGCGAGATTAAGGTGGATTTGGAGACAGCGGGTCAAACCGTTTCCGAGGTAGAGTTGGCAATCCATGCCTTGAATGGTTTGCCGAAGGAGTATGCAACTCTAGTGGAGGTCCTAGAGTTGAGTGAGGAGGAGTTGACGTTGGACACAATTCAGCCTAAGCTCATGCAAAAGAGCAAAAGTTGAAGTTGGACGGGGAGCTAGGAGCTCCGGAGGAGAAGGAGGAGAAAAGTATGGGGAAGGCATTTGTTGCCAAGCGGGAACGGTATGAGACCGTTATCAAGGGGTCAAGTGAGCGGGGCGGTTACAACGGAGGGGTAAGGCGTGAAGCGGGGTCCGACGCGAGGACGTGCTATGCTTGCGGAGAGAAGGGCCACGTCCGGGCTCATTGCCGGAAGCGGAACGCGGAGTGCTTCAATTGTGGAGAGAGGGGCCACATAAGCTCGGTGTGTAGAAAGCCCCGGGGTGGTGCAAAGAGCGGCGGCGAGGACCGCCCGGACCGGAAGGAGTTTGCCGCTGTGGCGTTTACGGCATGGCGCAAAGAGGCGCGGGTGCCGGCAGATGTGTGGCTCGTTGACTCGGGAAGCACTCAACACATTACGCCGGATAAGAGGCACTTTGCAAGCTACGAGCGGCTTGCGCGTGCGGAGAAGATTGAGGGGCTTGGAGGAGAAGCCTTGACGGCGGTGGGGATTGGGAAAGTGATCTTGGAGTGTGAGACGCCAAACGGAGCGGGCAAGGTGACCTTGAACGAGGTTTGGCACGTTCCGGGAGCGAGAGCAAACTTGTTCGCAATGCGGCGAGCAACGGACGCGGGCGCAAGGATCTCCTTTGAAAGGGGGATTGCCCGATTTGAGATGGGAGGTGTGGTGAGCATGGAGGCGGTGCAACGCGGTGGATTGTGGGAGATTGCAACGGTTAAGAAGGCGAGAGCGTTCTTGGCGGTCAAGGGGCCGGTCAAAACGGAGCGTCGGTTCGGGGAGGTGGCACCAAAGCCGGAAGTGAGAGTGGAAAAGAAGCAAGCGGAGGTGAGGCCGGTCAAGGTCATTGAGGTTGACCCTGAGTCGGACGACGAATCGGACGACGGGGTGAAGGAGATCCAACCGGTGGATGTGAGCGTCGGGGAAACGGAGTCCCCAACGGAGAAGAAGACGGAGAAGCACGGCGCAATGGGAGCCGTGGGAGCGGCAGTGGAAGCCGTGGGAGCAAGCGCAGCGGAAGGCGTGGGAGCACGGTTCAACCGGAAGTTGGACAAGGATGAGAGCGGAAAGGTGATGTCGCCAGAGACGGGCGGCAAGCGATATCCGGAGTGGGCACGTGTGCTACCGGGAAGAATTTTGGAAGGGCGAGACGGGATGGACAACACCAAAGGCTAAGAAGCGAGCGGGTAGAAGTGGCTAAGATTGAGTGGGACAATTTCTCCGCGTGGGAGTGTTAAAATTAAGGTTGGTTGACGGCCAAATTGTGGACATTAACGACAAAGAGAACAAGTACTTGTAAGTTTAAGATGAAAGAGAATGAGGGCTTGACGGATTAAGATGTAAGAAGTTGAAGACTTGGGGAATTAAGGAAGAAGGCTTTGCAGATTAAGTTGAAAAGGATTGAGTGCTTGATAGATTAAGATAAGAGGAGCCGATTGCTTGGCAGATTAAGGTAAAAGAAGTTGAGTGCTTGATGGATTAAGATGGAAGGGATTGTGCGCTTGGCAGATCAAGCCCAAATAGCCCAAGTAGTTGGCAGATTAGGAACCTGGAAAAGGTAGATGCAAGAGATTAAGAACCGGATTTGTGTGGACCGTTCGATAATAGGTGGTTGGAGTGAGTGAAGCGAGGCCGTCGATTATAGTATCCACGTATCTAAGGATTATGGTAGATTTGGTTGGAGTAGACCTAGCTACGGGATTGAACTTGACTTGAACCATTGTCATGTGATAAAACATATACTGAGAGATGCTTGGTGAGAGTTAGGGCGCTCCTTTTGTGAAGGCGCTTGTGTGTAAGGGTGGTTAATCCCTCGTTGGTTCCAAGCATGAGTGTATGATTTCAACAGTTTAGTCTAGCCTAGTAGGAGTTCAGTAAACTGTCACCTAGTAAGTCCGGAAGTTTCACTTTTTACCGTATATCGACGGCTATTATCGAGCCTACACAATTAACGGTAATCGCCAAGTCATTCGGGTTGGATTGTAACCCGCGCGCATTTAACTGTGTAATTGTAACTACTAGTTACTGTCGAAGCACCGTCGACGTCGTGTGTCTCAAACTCCAGAATCACCCAGGTATTCGGTCCCTAAATGCCCGTATCTCAACACCCCCCACACACTATGGCTATGCGATTGATATCTCGCTCTTGCACTCCTCGAACTTCCCCGGTGCCAGCGCCTCAATCATGTTGTCCGCCTTCATGTCCTCCGTCTTGCAGTACGCGAACGCGACCTCCTTGCGTGCCATGCGCTCCCGTGCAAACTGATGAATCACGTCATTGTGCTTCGATCGCTGCAATGCGATAAGATGCTTCAGGAGCCGAATTGCCCCTTGATTGTCGCAATAGATCTGGACCGTCCCGAGGTCCAACTCGAGATCTCCCCCGAGCTTGCGAAACTACAACGCCTCCTTTACTGCTTGCGCTGCGCTCATGTACTACTCCGTTTCCATGTCACGGCTGCCACCGACGGCTGCAGCCTGCTCGGCCAGCTCACCGCCCCCTCGTAAATCACGAAGACGTATCCCGTTGTGGCTTTGCGTCCACGTCACCCACGCAATCCTTGTCACAATAACCGACGAGATTCTCCTCGCTCCCCCCCAAAGGTCACCACGTCCTCTGCCATCTCTGCCAAGGAGCGCACAACTTCAAGCGCCGCCCGCCAGTGCGCCTTCGTCGGCCCCGCCATGTAGTGCGCAAGCGCGCCCACCGACTGTGCGATGTCGGGCCTCGTGCGTACACTCAAATACAGCAGGCTTCACACACTCGTTGTATGGAAACCGCTTTGTGTCGAGCCCCTCACCCTCCTTCGTTAACTTGTCCCCCCGCCCGCGCTTCCGCTTGTCCGTAACGTCCGATAGCTCTCCCGTCAGCCTCTTCTACGTCAGCTTCTGGGTGCATGCGCGCCTTCCTGTCGCATGTCAGCTCCATTCCGAGGGAGTACGTCGCCGCCCCCCGATCGCGCATGTCGAACTTCTCTGCCAAGTGCGCCTTCACCTTCGCAATTCGCTCCGCTCCACGAGCCGCCACGAGGATGTCGTTCACTAACACCACGAGGTAGACCTGCTCCCCGGCTACAATCCTCGTGAAAAGCGCTGCGTGCGCCATGAACGCCACGAGCTCCTCCTTCAGGCGCATGTGCCACGCACGCGGCCCTGGCGCAGCTTGTACAAGGTGCGCTTGAGGTGGCAGACCATCTCCGGCCCACATTGCTCGTATCCCTGCGGCTGCTGTATGTAATTTTCCTCCTCCAGCTCCCCGTCCCCTCCCCGTTAAGGAATGCCGTCTTGACGTCCAGCTGATGCAGCTCAAAGTCGTGCTTCGCAACCACCACCAGCAGAACATGCAACGTCGTGTGTGCTCACCGGGGCGTGACCTCGTCGAAGTCAATCCTCTGCTTCTGCACGTAGCCCTTCGCCACCAGCCGGGACTTGTACCGCATCACGTTTCCGTGAGCGCGTCCCGCTTGATCTTGTAAACCCACTTCATGGGAACCGGCTTGACCCCCTCAAGTTTTTTGGACGACTTTCCACGTTCCCTTTTCCAGTAGGGAACGCATCTCCTCGGCCATGGACTTCCGCCCGAGGTCACTCCCTTCTCCCCTACGGCTTCCTGTAACTCTGCGGTTTTTGACAGTGCTCTCCCGTTCCTTTGAGGTGCTCCCCCGCTTTCGTATCCGCCGCCAAGTTGGCGCGGTACCACTTCCCTGGCGTGCGTCTCTCACGCGCCGGATACCTCTGAGCAGCCGGTGTTGGCATCCGTATGTCCTCCGCAATCTCTTCCCGCTCTGCTCTGCTCTCTCGCACCGTCTCCAAAACTTGCCCACTTTGATCGGTTTTGGAAATCGTGCGTGCAACGCAGAAGCGGTCCTTCGTCGGCGCGTGCACGTGTGCGGGGGCGCAGGCGCGGTGTTCGGAGCTCAGCTCAACAATCCCGTTGTCCCATTAGCCCTCGTCAAAGATGATGTCCCGGGAGATCATGATTGTAACGGTACGGAGGTCCGAGTGCTCTACCGTCGAGCTACGACCCAAAAAGGTGATACACTTTGGGTCGTAGCTCGACGGTAGAGCACTCGGACCTCCGTACCGTCACAGT